CCCTCGTCGGTGCATCCCACACGACGCGCAGGTGAAAGCATAATCCGGGCACTGGGTACCCCTGAGGGCCCGCGGCTGGGTGGCTCCTGGAGCCCCGGGGTGCCAGGGGACCCCCGCCCGCGGCGGCCGGAGACGCGGGGCGCGGGACGACCCCCTCCCAGCACATCGCTGTGCGCCGGCCCCAGGGGTCTTTTAAGGGTCCTGGTTTGCGGAGACAGATCAGAGGGCGAGTGACGGAAACTTCCTTTACTGTAAACAAGACCTTAATTAAGGGACAGGTCGAGAGTGTCGGGAGCAATAAAAGTGGTTTTTAGCGGTGAGTAATCTCAGTTCTATAGGGAAAGAGATTTATGTAATTGTGTGAACAGACGTTTGTTTCGGTGATAACGGAATTCTCACGGAGAGAACAAAAAGTTAAAGGGTTTATTTTAATCATAAAAACAACCACCTAATCATAAAAATAACCACTGAGTCAAAATAGCGGTGGAAACAAAAGTTATTTTACAGCCTTGATAGGGAAGGAAGAAATTCTCCTGAAGGCGGCCACCTGCTGCCCCCACAAAGCTGGCCTTGGGCAAGATGTTTGATCTGTTTGTCTGGGTGAGGTTTTTTGTTGTTTGCTCGTTTAATTTAGTTTTTAAATAAGTTGTGAATATTAGCACAGAGCACTGTACTTTTATTTTTTTAAGACAGAATCTTTGTTTTTCCATTGTATTAGCTCCTCTTTTAATTTCTGTAAATATATAAGTTGGTTACTTTGAAATCTTTTTTCTGTTTTGCTTTTTAAACAAATTAGCGATTTTTAAATCGAAATATGTTTTGTTTAATCCATACGAAAATCAATTAATATTGTAGCTTGATTGTACAATATTCTAAGTTCTTAACAATTCTGTTAAATTGAGGATTGTTGTTATATTACACTTGGATTTTTTTTGTTGCATGGATATCATATATATAGGATTTCATGTACAAAAGAAACCATGTTAATACATCCCTATTTTGCAGAATCAATTGTCCAATAGGTCAACAAATAATATCTGTATCCCATAGAGAAACATTACTGTGTGTGAGTTGGAGTACCACAGGCAGTCTATCAAGTAAAATTACTATGCATATAAAATGGTATTACTTGATGCTTTACTTTAAATTTGTAGCTGGCCATGCACCTAAAAACTCTATAGCCACATGACAACTAAAGGCGTATCTGATCTGGAGTTTATCCTGGAGGGGGAAAAGGTATAAAAGGCATGATAGAGTCAGCTGATAAAACTGGAGTAGGAATGGTTCACTAAAGTATCGTTTTCACGTTCAGTAGGGGAAAAGGGCCACAATGTATGTAAGTTAACCTTAATTGGTTTGGAAAAAAAATTATTCGTGTGTGTGTGTGTGTGTGTGTGTGTGTGTGTAGAGTGCTCAAATGATAAAGAAAATGGGGTAAAACACTAACAATAGATAAATCTAGGTTCTTTTTGTGTTCTGTGTTCTTTGTACTGTTCTCCTTTTTTGCTACTTATCCTAAAGGTTGAAATGATTTCCAAATACAAGGTTAAAAAAAATAAAAGGCCTGTATATTACGATAGCATTAAAAAGAAAAAAAAGAAACAAAAACAAAAAACCACAACTCTGTAGCCCAAGCTCTGCCAATGTTAATGACGATGTTAGTTCACAGACAGTAACATAAGCAAATCATTAATTCTTATCTCCATTTGTGATAGATTTGATTAATTTCTATTCAATGGAAAATTCAAAATAGTATAAAAAATGTTATTACAAATATTAGTGAATTTATTTCCAGGATTGTGTTGTTACTAGAACATCTGATCATAATGCCGTATAAAAATGTCATGTCTTCCCTCAGGGGTTTTATTTCTGTCAGTCTTGACCCTCATCAACGCCAACAGCCTGCCCAAAGACAGAGTCCGATTCTCAGTCAGCAAAGACTAACTGGCATGGTGTCTTAGTCTGTTTGGGCCTCTATAACAGAGTATCACAGACGGGGTGGCTTATAAACAACAGACATTTATTTCTCACAGTTCTGTAGGCTGGGAAATCTGCAATCAGGGTGCCAGCATATTGGTTGTCTGGTGAAGGCCTGCTTCCTAGTTCACGATGGGTGGCTGTCTTCTCTCTATGTCCTCACATGGTGGAAAGGGCAAAGGAGTTCTCTGAAGCCACTTTTGTAAGGGCTCTAATTCCATTAATGCAGAGCCCTCATGACTTAGTCACTTTCTGGAGGCTCCATCTCCTAATACCATCACCTTGAGGGTTAGAATTGTAACATATGAATCTGGGAGGTGACTCAACCTTTCAGATCATAGCACATGACTAATGGGAGGAGCTATGGCAGAATTGGCCTTGACTTAGTTCTTATACCAACCTCCACTGTGACTCTGGAGTGACTTTAAGCCAGTTAACATTTCTAGGCTTATTAACTACCCTGACGGCCTTACAGAACTGTTGGGAGACTACATGAGAGTATTCTGGAAAATTGTCATGTGCTATGTAATACTGTTATTGGAAAATTAGAAATAACAGAGAGCCTGAAGTGTTTTACTTATACTGTTTAAAGGATAATTGATGCTTGGCGTTATTGTTATAGTACATGTATAGTTGCTGTGTTCTCCACATGTACTATCATCTCATGGTTAATTACGTGAGTAAATATCAACTATGTTGTCCTCTCCATGAAGGAAAATGCCCATGAGCTATTATTACAGCAGCTTACATATCAATTACATGACCTTTCTACAGTTAAAAGGGGAAAACACAACTATGACCCTTGATATTTTTATTGATCACCGTTACTTTGGTAATAAATAATGCTGCAACACAGTGCTTTATTTCTCATTCCCATCACCTTGTAAGTGCAGTTGCCAGTGGTGCTGTGTCTTCTTCATCTCCAGACCAGGTTGAAGAGCAGCCCCCATATGGGGCATGCCACACTTATGGCCGAGAGGAGTGCCGGGACGGGATCCTAGCATAGCTCTTATGGCTTCCATTCAGATGTGGCATGTGTTGCAAATGTTGCAGTTAATTGGCCAGAGCAAGTCACATGGCCAGTCGGGGTGGGACATGTGAGCACTCTCCTACCACATGGGCACCAGAAGGCACGTGGCAAGGGCAAGGCAGTATGATTCTCTGTAGGAGGGGTAGAAAATAAGAATACTATCTCAGCCCTATGAGTATTCCATTATTTGTTTAAAGGTACATATGTTAGTTTCAATAAAAGTAAACAACAATTTAGAGGAAAGCATTTGCCAACAAATGAGAGTTTTGAGCTTAATGACTTTCAGGGTCCTTAGGTGTAATGGAATGTGATTCGTATTTGGAATACATGGAAAACTATACCATTTTATATGATTGGGTTCCTTTCCTAAAGGTTTTCTGGGGTTTTTTTGTACAAATAAATAGGGATTTCTGTTGACGGTTTCTGTTTGGGTGTGTTGTATTTATGGTGGGAAAGAGCTGGCCTCTTGAGGGAGAGTGCTAGAATAGCCCATCCACTGCCCACTTACGCCCACTGCCGCTACTTAGTTGGAGGGCTTGGGACACTGGGAGAAACTGCCACAGGATGACGTGGGTTGCTCATTTACCTGGCCCTTGACCTGTTAGTGCCACTCACACATGTGCCACTGGGGCAAAGAGTAACTGGGATAATGAAGAAATGGTAAGAAAAGTACAATTTCACTGAGCTTTTATTTTAGTTGGTGTTTTGCCCCCTTTTAGTTATAAGAGAGTGTGTGTCTGTGGGTGTCTTTTTTGATGTAATAATTGCAAAACTACTAGGTGAGAGAGTATGTGTGAAGATGTTCAAAGTGATTAGTAGATACATGTTCATAGCCTCATGGGATTGTAGAGCCAGAATGCTCTTGTTTTACAGTTATGTAGAGTGAAGTCCAGTAAATTGAAAGCTTTGCCTGGGATATAGGGAGTTGGAATTTGGGCTGAGATTCAAACCTTTATCTCTGTTCTCCTAATTCAACTTCTTTATATAGTTCAGTGAGATGTAGCTTTCTACAATTTTATGGTTATGTCTCTTGAACTCCATCTACAGTAATCACATATATTCCCACATAGACGTGTATATATATGTAATCATAGTTTTACATTTCTTATTTCTTTGACTCTAGTGTAACACTAATTCCTAATTGGTACTTAAAGTTTTCTTCGTTTGACATCCAATAAAGTAGCATATTATTTAAATAAGTTATGATGTTCTTTTATAATGCTGTTCTCTTCATATGAAATGAAAGTTTGCTTTGTATTTATCTTTCATAATTGGGGAACTCATATTCTACAGGGAATTTTTTGCAGAGTACAATTTTAAATTTAATATGCTAAATTAAATATGCAAAAATTCATTCAAAGAATGGATATAGTGTAGATGTCAGATTCTTCAAGGTCTGATTTGCAATAATATAGATTATATTAAATAAAAGGAATCATATGAATTATTAGACCAATATTAAACATTCATGGTGTAAATAGCACAGAACCATGTAAATGAAGCATTCACCAAATGAATATTATCAGTGTGTTATATGTGAACTACATTCCACATAGCACAAATGATTTACTGACAAAGGCATTTACATTATTTACTGGTACATTGGTATTTACATTATTTATATTTTTTCCTTGTGCTCGTGGTGGCCAGTAAATGTTTTAAAGAGACTCTTTAAAGAAAATTCATTTTATTTTTGTTTTTTTTTCTTTTATAGGGTATTCATAGGAATGGAAGTGGTGTTTCCCTGCCAGATTCCTTATTGCTGTATCTCATGAACCTACATAGTCTTGGGGAAGAGACTTTATTTAATGATGACAAACCTGTCACCAGTGTAGCACCAGCAGTGAGAGGACAAAAACGAATAGAAATAACGCATTTAAATTATATTCAACAAGGAAGTCATTTCAGTCAACAACTTCTGCTGCATTATTTTTCCAAGATGAACTGCTACACAACCATGAGACAGTTGGGGGATGGCACCTACGGGAGTGTGCTTATGGGCAAGAGTAACGAGTCTGGGGAGCTGGTGGCCATCAAAAGGTACTGTGTGAGACACTGCAAAGTAAACCTTTGAAATTCTGATGTTCATTTTCCTTTCCCTGCTTGAGAAAATATATAAGCACACAGAAAGGTCTAGTTTAGATGCCATGTTGCTTTGGCTAATGTGGAATGCCATGCTGGGAAAAAAATGACCAAAAAGGAATATTCTGCTAATCCCATGTATATTAATTTTCTGGTTTATCCAGCTACATTGATGAACAAAAACATGTTTTCTGCTTTTTATGCGTAATGCATTTGGGCTGAAACTGAAGGTAATCTTTGGGATGGTTTTAAAGTTTAAAAGTTTAAAAAAAATTAAGATGGGTACAGAGTAGAGCTTATTATTTCTTTAAAACAATAGGCCTCAAAATCAGATGGCATTCATAATATCAGATTGAGTTCTGAATAGCATTTGGTATTTTTTCCTGAGCTCATCAATTAAATAGAATTAATTATTACTAATTTAATTATTTCTTTTTAATTTACTGTATTTATCTTTTGCTACCTAACAAAATATCACAAAGCTTCGAAACTTAAGAACAAACATTTATTAATTCACACAGTTTCTGTGGATCAGGATTTAGGAGTCATTTAACTTGGTAGTTCTGACCTAGGGTCTCTCATGAGGTAACAGTCAGATATTGGCCAAGGTTGCCATCATCTGAATGCTTGACTGGGGCTGCAGAATCCACTTCCAGGTGGCTCACTCTGTCAGTTTCTAGGGCTGCCATAACAAAGGACCACAGACTGGGTGACTTAAACAACAGAAATTTATTTCCTCACTGTTCTAGAGGCTAGAGGTCTGAGATCAAGGTGTCAGCAGGGTCAGTTTCTTCTGAGCCTTCTCTCCTTGGCTTGTAGATAGATAGCTATCTTCTCTCTCTGTCTTCACATGGTCTTCCCTCTGTGTGTGTCTGTGTCCAAATTTCCTTTTCTTATAGGAAATATGTCCTCCTACAGAGCACTGAGAAACCCCAGCATATAAAGGATGGGGCCTGGGTTAGAGTCTTACAAAAAGACTGAGAAAGAACCAGCAGAGAAATAGAGTGAAAACCAGGAGAGTGTAGGAAATGGCTGAACCCAAGGGAAATATCTAAAGAAGGAGGGTGCTCAGCTTGCAGGCAGGTAATAACTAATGAGTGAAAAGCATCTGGATTTGTTAGGAATACATCTTGCTGCAAGTAACAAATTCATAGATTAATAGCAAGTAACAAAACCCATGCTTTAAATAAGTAGGAGTTTATTTTTCTGTCATATCAAGAAATCTGGAGTTTGATGTTTCCAGAACGCTTTCAGTGGCTCAACAGTGTACCCAAGGAATCCAGACTTTTCCATCTTGTTTATATGAGCCCTTAGCATTTTTTTGTCTTCAAATGTTTTGTCACCTAATGGCCACGTTATGGCTACTTCACCTCCAGGCATTACATTGATGTTCAAGGTGGGAAGAAGGGAGAATAATACCAGCACACCCTTCTCTCATCGGTTACCAGGAAGGAATAATTTCTTTCCCAGAAGCCCCCAAGGACTTCCCCTTACATCTTAATGGCTAGAACTGGGTACTTTACTTCCAATGGGGGCTGAGAAAGTGAGTGTTCGCTCTTCCAGCCTTTATACTAGGTGGCAAAAGGAACAGGGCTGGAAATGTTCTTGTATCCACGTGATATTATGTGCCAGGGTGTTCTTGGATTGGGGACTATGGCATGATTGGTGGCCATGGTGAGCACTGTTCCAGGGAGTAGTGGATGAGATGAGGCACATTGGAGCAGGGCAGGGAGAGGGAAACATGGCACTGGAGGCGCTGAGCTTTCAATATTTGTGAGAAATGTGTTTCTGAGAATGAGGAAAGTAATGAGTATCGTGAAGGGTCCGCCTGAGACTACATGGGACGATTAGGAGTGTGGAGCTGCTGGGAGCATCGCATGACCTTTCCTTCTTCCTTCACCAGTCTTCAGGGAAAGCCGAGACGGGAGGACGGCAAGGCGGGAGAGGAGGAGTGTTGAGAGAGGGGCACGTTTAGAACATGTGTGTGATCTCGAGAGTACAGGGATGAGGGCTGATTGTGGGACCCACGCTGGATGTGGCGGCAAGCAGAGCCACGCAGGCGGTCGCAGGAACAGCAGGAGCTGAACAAGAGGCGTGTGCAGCAGGGCGTTCCTGGGTAGTGCTAGTGCAGGGGTAGGAGGTTGTGGTCAGAGTCTGGAGTTACACAGGTTGAGGTCTCGGAGAGCAGAACCATTCCGCAGGATGACAAGGTGTGTACGAGTGACTGTGGTGGGATAGAGGTGAACAGCTGTCTGGAGTTAAGGAACTGTGAGGCCAGCTGGCGGGACTGTCAATATGAATGTTGGCTGTAGCCGCTGCTCCTTATGGTTCTGGACAAGGTAGGATCTTAGGATAGTTTTTGTCCTACGAGAGTCACACAAAGAAGGCCTCGTCATTTCTCTCAAGCCTGATGCGAAGGAATAAACTTTACCTGAAAAATACAGATACTAGACCCCGTATTCTCCATCCTCAATTTATCCCTATTCGTTACCAACACAACTCGCATCCCATTGTATCCAGTCAGGACCCTCATCTTATGCTCGGCGGTACGAAATGTTAGGCATTCCCAGTGTCAGCCCTAATGTTCTAGGTGTAACACTTCGGACAACACCTTAAATCCATCCATACTTTAGCCCCCAAATTAAATAAAATCCATGTAGGGATGTAGCAGATGAAGAGCTGCCCATCCTTAACCTTCAAAGTGGACAGTAAACATGTCCCCATGAAGGGACATAGATTATGTGGAAGGTGGTATTTTTTATTCTAAAAGCATTTTGAACAGAAGAACCAGGAGTCAGGTGTCGGGGCTGGGGGCTGTTGGGACTAGACGTGCTCAGTGAAGAGTGACGTGGAGGCGTGGAATGGACAAGAGGCCGAGCGCCAGCACAGCGCGGTCACCCAGAAGCCAGGGGGTGGCAGCTGGCAGCTGCTGGACGTGGGGTGTGACTTGAGAATGTGAGCACAGGAAAGAAAGTGTGGACATAGTTCAGTGAGCAGTGGGCTAGGCTGTGGAACCGTCTAGAAATGCAGTCAGGACTCTAGGGTGAGTCGGAGCCTGAGTGGTTAGAAGCTGGAAGAACACTGCGATGACGGACAAAATAAAAGGTTCCTTTTTGAAAATTTCCTTTGGAAAACTTTAGTGTACAGCACTGGTAAGAAACCTTTTGCCATTTTAAAAAAAGCCGTAACGTACAATTCATTAGAGGATGGTAGTAAGATTCCCTCACCTCATTAAGTTAAATATTTGTTAAGCCCTTGGAGGACTTGAGAGGCAATTCCATTTCTGAGTCTGCCATGTGGGTGTCAGGTCCTCATGAGCCCACCTGTGGGTATAGAAATCCACCCAGTCATTTAGCAGATATTTATTGGGCACCTACCATGTGCCAAAAACTGGTCTAGGCTTATGGGAGTGTCTTTAAGGAGCTTATGTGTGGGGGGAGGGGAGAAGGGCTAAACTAAAAAATAAGTATATTATATAGCATGTTAGAAGGTGGTAAATGCTATGGAGAAAAAGCAGAGCAAGAAAGGTGACTGGAAAAGGCACTATCATTTTCTTACGACGAGTAGTTGGGTATAGCCATGCAAATTAGTTTAGGGTATTAAAGAAATAAGGATCAGCCTGAAGTGGCCTTTCATTTCCTCTGACCAGCCAGGTCTTTCTAGCTGTTTCTGTCTGCCTTGAAACCTTTTTCTGTCTTCACATGCAGGCACTTTCTATCTTTCAGGTCTCACCTGAAATGCTGCCTTATTGAAAGGACTGTCCATTAAGTCTATAAAAGATCCCCTTGTTATTCTAGCTTAGGATTCTTTTTTTTTTTTTTTTTTTTTTTCTTTTTGTCTTTTTCCGTGTCCGGCAACGGGATCGCAACCCTCGGCGCTGCTCCCGCGCCTCGCCCAGCCAGCGAGCGGGAACCGGTCTGTTATGTGGGATCCGAACCCTCGGGCGGGAGCGCCGCCACGCTTCCCAAGCGGTGCACTATCCAGTGCGCCACCGGGCCGGCCCAAGCTTAGGATTCTTATAACTAATTTGTCTATCTGTTTTGTAAGACATTTATAAAACTATAGCACTGAAAAATAGCCTTTGGTAAGCCAGAAAACCCTGAATTTCATCAAGCTTCTTCACAAATTTCTAGTACCTGAGTGACTACAAATGAAATTCTGATTCACTAAGTGTATTTTAGAAATAATAGCAGTGTTGCCTTCATGTCTTATTATAGTTGGTCAGAGATGTTGGTAAAAATAAGAACATGTACTGAGTGCTGAGCTAAGCAGTTTACAATAAGCTTTTCTTATGCAGTAGTTTCTACTTTATGGCTAGCTGAGGAATTTGAAACACAGAGAGGCCATTAGGGTACTTGTCCAAAGTCATACAATCAGTGGGCAGCTGGACAAGGATTTGAATCCAGGCTGATTTTTGCAGCCCATGCTCTTGAGCGTTATGTTGAGCTGCCAAATGTTTATTCGTTTCCTTACCTGTGTAGTACACCCTCATAGAGGCTCTGCATTATAAGAATTATCCTACCTCTAAGCTTTCTAAGGATCTTCTAGAACATCTCAATAGGAGATTACAATACTAAATGAAAACAGTAGGGCGCATTTGGTTTTTCTTTTTCATAGTTTGCTCAAAGGGAAACAATAATAAGAGTAAGAAAGCCACCAGTGTGATTTGTATCTTCAAATCCTCAGTTCCTGTACACTAAACTTGTCCTTATTTATTTCAGGATGAAGAGAAAGTTCTATTCTTTGGACGAATGTATGAACTTGAGAGAAGTTAAGGTAAAATACTAAAGGTGAACAGAACCGGAGAAGGCCTTAACTCTACCTCACACCTGAGGACTGTAGCCAGGGAGATGATTCGGTTCTTTGTGGGAAGCATTCCAAAGATACCTGTGTTTATATTTTTCCTTTATCTTCCTAAAGTAATTTTTCATTTCTTTTTGTTCTGATGTTAGTGGAGAACAGAAAATAATTATACCCTCATATTTGGAAGTTTACTTTCACTTTTAAAAGAGCATTTTAATTCATATTATCAAAGGAAAGAATTTTTTTAATTGCTACATGTCACTTTTAAAATATTTTATGTTGTACGACTTGTGTAAACTTTTGGAGACTTTTATGGAATTCACATGGTTAAGTCAGACAAAAGTTAGACCTATCTCCCAGACCGAGAGAAGAAGCGACAGGTTGAAATGTTCCGTAGCTATTGCTGACTTGGTTTATTTTTGCACTTAACATTCATTACTTAAAACAATAACTGCTTGCTTTCAATAGATGTTCTAAGATGTTTTTAGATTATGTAGATATTAAAATGTAATTTGTTAATGAATCCAGAAGAAACGGAAAATTACTTAAGGTACTTATCATACTTAGCATTGATGAGATTTGACCAACTTCTAAAATTTTTCTTTAAAAATTTCAATGCTTTGTTGTTTTGCAGTCTCTGAAGAAACTTAATCATGCCAATGTGATTAAACTGAAAGAAGTTATCAGAGAAAATGACCATCTTTATTTTATATTTGAATATATGAAAGAAAACCTCAATCAATTAATGAAAGACGGGTATGTCTTTATTCTAAAAAACTAATTTCCTCCATGAGTTCTTCGGATCTTTTCAATGTGTCATACTTTGCTATATACAGATTGATCACTTAAGAGATAGATTTAAATTAATTAGTTCTCTTTTCTTAACACTGAGGAAGAACCGGCTATGACCTAGCCACCACTTTTCTGTTATAATTTCTTAAAAATCAAAGTAGTACTCATATTTCATATAAACACACACAGTATCCAGTTATACTTTTTTTAAAAAAAAATTTATTTTGTTGATATACAATGTGGTTGATTATTGTGGCCCATTACCAAAACCTCCCTCCCTCCTCCCTCTCCCGCCTCCCACTCAACAATGTCTTTTCTGTATGCTTGTCATGTAAACTTCAAGGAATTGTAATTGTTATGTCTTCTTCTCCCCCCCGGTTGGGTGTGTGTGTGTGTGTGTGTGTGTGTGTGTGTGTGTGTGTGTGAATTAATTTATTTATTTTTATCTCCCACCAATAAGTGAAAACGTATGGTATTTCTCTTTCTGTGCCTGACTTGTTTCACTTAATATAATTCTCTCAAGGTCCATCCATGTTGTTGCAAATGGCAGTATTTCATTCTTTTTTTTAGCTGAGTAGTATTCCGTTGGGTAGATATACCAATTTTTCCATATCCACTCATAAGATGATGGACATTTGGGCTGGTTCCAACTCTTGGCTATTGTAAAGCGTGCTGCTATAAACATTGGGAAACAGGTATACCATCGACTTGATGATTTCCATTCCTCTGGGTATATTCCCAGCAGTGGGATAGCTGTGTCATATGATAGATCTATCTGCAATTATTTGAGGAACCTCCATACCATTTTCCATAGAGGCTGCACCATTTTGCAGTCCCACCAACAATGTATGAGAGTTCCTTTTTCTCCGCAACCTCGCCAGCATTTATCGTTCAGAGTCTTTTGGATTTTAGCCATCCTAACTGGGGTGAGATGGTATCTCAGTGTAGTTTTGATTTGCATTTCCAGGATGCTGAGTGATGTTGAGCATTTTTTCATATGTCTGTTGGCCATTTGTATATCTTCCTCAGAGAAATGCCTACTTAGCTCTTTTGCCCATTTTTTAATTGGGTTGCTTGTTTTTTTCTTATAAAGTTGTTTGTTGAGTTCCTTGTATATTCTGGATATTAATCCTTTGCAAGAGGTATAATTTGCAAATATTTTCTCCCACTCTGTTCACTGTCTTTTAACTCTGTTAATTGTTTCTTTTCCTGTGCAGAAGTCTTTAGTTTGATATTGTTTA